AAAAAAAAAAAAAAAAAAAAGTTTAATTAAAATCTAGTCATGCCATTCATTCCCTGGTCTTTATGACTTTCATCTACTATAAAAACAAAATCACTGATTTACAATGTAACTTTTTACTTTAAAAAAACGTACAAAACAAAAATAGGGTCATCAATCAACTAAGCAGCATTCTTGCCTCTGCCTCCTAAGTGCCAGAATTACAGATGTGAGCCATCTCAGGCTTTATCCTTTAAAAAGGCCCCACTCATCTTAGCCTCCATTCAGATCACTCTTCACTTCCTGCTAGTCCCCAGGTAAACCATATCCCACCTAGAGCAGTCCCCTAGCACCTGCTGTCCCTCCTACCACATCCCTCTCCAGAACTCGGCTCAGTCTCTATTATTTCACCCAAGAACAGCCCTGCCCTAAAGTTAGTGTGCACACTTGGCAGAATCATTTAGCTACATAAGTCCTAGGGCGAATACCATGACTTACTTAGCAAAGGCATACTATTAAAATATTGTCATTTTTCTTCGGCTTTGTATCCCTCATACCTAGCACAGGGCCTGGCCTAGACAGAGCAAATGATTAGTAGGTATTTTGCTTGTTTGTTTTTTGGGATAGGGTTTCTGTGTGCAGCCCTGGCTGTCTTGGAACTTAACTCACTAGATCAGGCTGTCCTCAAACTCAGAGATGCGCCATCCTCCTCAGCCTCGTGAGTGCTGGGATTAAAGGTGTGCGCCACCGCCGCCCAGCGACTACTAAGTATTTACTGAACAACCAAAGGCGTGAATGCTAACTCATTGACTAGAAGGCTCCTTCCACTGCTGCCACGGCACCTGACTGAAGTGCCTGGCCTCTGGCTTGACAACAAAGCCCCATGCTTCCTCACCAGTCGTCACCCACATTGAAGGCGTTCAGGCTCTTGGTGAAACCCTGCATGTTGGTGGGGCTGACCCTCTGCAGGAAGTCGATGTAGTCCTCCGAATGGAAGCGGCACATGTCATGCTGGGAGGCCTGGTAAGGCTTGAAGACCTGGGGAGGGAAACAAAAGGGAAGTTGTTCCTTTGAGCACTGCCTAGGTACTAGCTGGATTTCCATACTGCCCTAATCTTATCTGTGGGCCAGAGTTTCTCTCAGGCGGGGCCCAGGAGAGCTACTAGAGTGTCCAACTACGACAAGACCTCACTTAATTATAATCCTACCTAAACACTGAAAGATACTCCCAATACCATGATAGGTAACAACTGCCACGGAAACAACTACAAAGCAAAAAAAAGTGGTAAAAAAAGAGAAAAGAGTCCCTGAATTCCCAAAAATTTTCTGCCCAGTCTCAGAGAAAAAAAAAAAAAAGAATATCCCTTTTATCAGTCTATTTCTCTCACCTCATTTTTACTCTTTATCTATAAATTCTTAATTAAAACCTTATTACATATATGTGGGTGGGGCAGGTGAAGTCAGGGATAGCTTAGATGTCAAGTCTCTCCTCTCACCTTGTGGCTGTCAGGGTCCTCACTCTTTTGGAAGCAGGCTGAACCACCACTCTAACCCCTACACCTATAACCTCCTGGTTCCTAGGAGTTGAGAACGTTATCTCCCACTTACATTTGTGGCCCAAATAATAATAATAAAAGTCTGTTTCACTGCTCATTTGACACGTGGTCTTCTTACCGGTTCCACAATTCCAGGAAGGGCAAAACAGGTCTAGTTTGAATGAAACAACTGACAACAAACCCAGGCAGTGCTCTACCAGTACCTGGGCTGAGACCACTCCACCCTGATTCCAGCCCTGGAGACTGTCCAAAACACATAAAACAATCTTCCTACCCCATCCTTCGTTACTCTTCGACAACTCTGAGTGAAGAAGAGATGTTATTCTTGGCAAGCTTTTTTAAAAACAACTTATTTATTTTTATTTTATATACATTGGTGTTCTTCCTGCATGTATGTCTGTGTGAGGGTATCAGATCCCCTGGAACTAGAGCTACAGAGCTGTGAGCTGCCATGTGGGTGCTGGGAATTGAACCCCTAGTCCTTTGGAAGAGCAGCCAGTGCTCTTAACCACCTAGCCGTCTCCCTAGCCCCAGGGCAAGCTACTTTTATCAAGACCCCTGAGGAGCACTTCACCTCCTTCCTCCCTGCAGCCCAGCCTCTCCTCCCTTCCCAGCTCACTTCTCCTGGCCCACATGCCTTTCCCAGTCGTGGGTCCCTCTAAACTTATCTCTTCTCTCAAACTCAGATTCTTTTCTCTGGGTTTTTCACCATGGGATCAAATCTATGAAATGTATGACAATCTAACTAAAATCCAAAGTCCTAAACCAAAGATTTATTATCCTTAGTGGGGGTAGAGGTGGAGATACAAACAATGGTTTGAATATTGGGCAACACTTTTTCTTTCCTACAAAATGGATAAAAAGGACACACAGATAATTTTAGGGGGTTCACAGACTTGCACTAATACTACCTCACTCTTCTCTACACCCAAACCACTGCCTGTGTCTGATTACTTGTTGAATATCTTCACAGTACATAAGGGCCAGGCTTGCTATTGTCCCATTTCACAGCTAGAAATTCCAAGCTGGGGAGAAACAGTACCTATATAACATGGGAAATGGAGAGTTGGGCAGAACCATATAGATACATCCTATAATAAAAAGTAAATTCCCACCAGGCAGTGGTGGTGCACACCTTTAATCCCAGCACTCAGGAGTCAGAGGCAAGTGGATCTCTGAGTCAGAGGCCAGTCTGGCCTACAGAATGAGTTTCAGGACAGCCAAGGCTACACACAGAGAAACTTTGTCTCAAAAACAAAAACAAACAAACAAAAAAGTAAATTCCCAGAACATATTCTCTACACATATACACCACAAAATGTAGAGTTGTCCCCAAGAGTTGTCCTTTCAGGTAAAGGACACAGGACAAGGAGCAGGAATTATGGGGAAATCTCACGAGAAAATATATTCCCAGCCCTCATCTTCAGTTCTGCACCGTTATCCACTCTACAAGACAGAGGGACTAGAGGCATATTTCTGTGGCAAAACACTCACTTAACGTGTGAAACCCTGGATTCAATCCACCAACACGTAAACTAAATAAAACGAGAAGGAACAAAACTGTCTTCAAAGGGTCCCCCTAACCCCAGGCCAGAGGCTGGTCTGTCCTCAAGTTAAAAGGGAGTCTCACCTAAGGACAAAAATGTGTCTCCATTAAGTCGGGGAACACCCTCCACTCAGTACCACCACCACTACTACACATAGGGGACATAGGGAATGTCCCGTGTGCCTTCTATCCTGCTCCCCCTCCTCTAGGGGTAGGTTGCACCTGATATGTCCAGTCCACCTAGCCTAAGGCCGCAGCTCATTCCCTGGCCCAAACCCCCACAGAAGTGGCAGGACTCACGATCATCTTCTTATAGAGACCATAATGCAGGACTAGGCTATGAGTCAATGCCAGGCGATGGGGCTTCATCGGGTGCCCAGCTCCTGGGGGCAGGGAAGGAAAGAGTTGATCAGTTCCCACCCCTAGACTTGCAGCCCTTCCCGCAAACCTCTCTTCCCGCACAACCCTGTGCCCTACCGTAGTGGAAGTTGCCCACATCGGGGTCGTAGAAATACGCCACCGTCTTGGCCATGGTGCTGGGGGACCAGGCCCGGTGCCTCAGCCGCCCGCCCGCCCGCCGCCGGCCGCCAGCCCCACCCCCGCCGTGCGTGCTGCGCAAGCACGCAACTTACCACTGCGGAAAGGAGCCCTCGGCCCCGCCTCCCTAGAGCACTCCGGGCCACGCCTCTTATAGGAGCCCCGCCCCTTATGGGAGTCCTGCCCCTTGCTTTGCTGTCCTGGCCCGGGTTCTGAGGCTTGGGTTCTTGAGGCTTGGGCGGGGAGCCGTGGCATTATTCATAAAGATACAAGGGCCGTTTCTTTTTGGGTGGGGGTCATATCCTCGGGAAACCGAGTCATCCCGTCCAGCCGCTAGCCCCAAACGGATCTTGGGGCAATGGTCCCTCTCTAGGAACCTTGGAAGGTCTGGCCACCCTGCCCCTCTCAGGCGCAGAAAGCCAGCTTTTCCCAGTGCGCTAGGAAGATTTCAACTCGTCCAGGAAACGAGTTCGGAGGGCAGAACCTGTGCCAGACGCGAGGGTTAGACCGGTGGCCAGAGCCCCTCCTGACCTCCCGACCACCCATGAAGACCCAGACTTGAGCCGCACATTCTTCCTCGGAGGGGGGGGGGGGGAGACCGCTGCGCAGTCACGCGCACATCTCACTCACACGCGTAAGGCTCACGCTCTCCGCCCCGCACACCTGTGCTCCGCCCCTTGGTCCCGGGCCCGCGACGCGTGAAGGCATTTGGGAACCCGGGACAGTTTCAGAGGTGCCCCCCCATCCCCTCCATTTCCCAGGCAGGAGTGGTCCGGAGCCTGCCGCGGCTCTCAACCGGTCCACATCCTCTGCCATCCTTCCCTCCCCCCCGTCTGCCGCGGCACCGGTATCCGCAGCCACCAGCCCGGAGCCGGTGAGGCGACAAAGGGGGGAGGGGGAGGAAGCAAGGGATGAGCTCCGGGAGGGCATCGGGGGCCCTGAGCCGGACGAGGACGCCCCTGGAACCGGGACCCGAGCCGGAGCCGGAGACAGAACCAAACCACCGGTACCGGGTGGGCCAGGTGGTCAGGGTGGGAGGAACCGAAAAAGAAGGGACCCGGGAATGCAGGGAGGGATGGGGGCTGCACGAGGCCTGGCTCAGGCTGGTGTAAAGGAGGTAGCAACACTGACTCAAGCGTGTTTTCTGGGCTCGTTGTCTGAGAATTTTGTCCCATCTTGTGCTGCAGTGTCCTTGGAAGGGACGGGGGCGCGGGATGAGCTGTAACGGATAGCTGTCTGGATGTCAGAAAAGTGGGGCTGGGGCGCAGCAGAGGGCTTTTGTAGATGCCGTCTGGCCTCCAGCCTGCGGCGATTATAGCCAACCAGCACCCTTAGTCCGGACAGCTCCTTGGTTCGGTAGGGGGTGGGGCGCGCCTCCTATTGCGGATCCTAAGATGCCTTCCTATTCTGCGGGTACCCAGCTGCAGCCCACTAAACCCAGGAGGCGCCCTGGCCCGCGCTCGCCCCCCAGGGCCTCATGTCGGAACCACAGCCTGGCCTGGAGCCGCCCCAACATGGGCTGTACATGCTCTTCCTGCTTGTGCTGGTCTTCTTCCTCATGGGCCTTGTAGGCTTCATGATCTGCCACGTGCTCAAGAAGAAAGGCTACCGCTGCCGCACGTCTAGGGGCTCAGAGCCTGATGATGCCCAGCTCCAGCCCCGTGAGTGAGGAGCCTAGAACCCTGATTAAGGCACCTTCCTCCCTTACCCTTCTCCCCCAACTTTTTCCGGCCTCCCTGGCAGACAGACCCAGCCCAAAAGACAGCTTTATGATGCTTTTTTTGAGTCTGCATGTAAAGTGAGTGACACCACCCCGAAATGGAGGCTAGAGAAGGGGTCCACTCATGGTAACCCTGGGACCCCATTTTCTCTACCTTTTCTAGCCTGATGCATGAAGTCATATAGGTAAAGGGATACATTTTCAGCCATCCCCCCCCCCCCCGGGGCCATCAGGTCATATTCCCCCAAAGCTGACTCATTTCCCACTTCCTTGCCAACCTCTTTCATCCTTCAGCTGAAGACGATGACGTGAATGAGGACACAGTAGAAAGGATTGTTCGCTGTATCATCCAAAATGAAGGTGGGTATAGGCCAAAAGCATGCTCCTTCCTAAACTGTATCTTGCCCTGACCTCCACCTCCACTGATTGCTTCTCCCTCTCCTATCAGCCAATGCTGAGGCCTTGAAGGAGATGCTAGGGGACAGCGAAGGAGAAGGGACGGTACAACTCTCCAGGTGAGCTGGAAACCTTGGAGTACCCGCTCTAATACAGTTTTCCCAAGTAACATGGGAGTTGGGGGAGGGGGTGGACAAGGCTAGCTAACCTATGGGAGAAGTTTTATAGAAACCCTTGACCCTTTGTTTCCAATCTAGATACCATGCAGACTAGCATTCACCTCTGGTGTCACTTTCTTTGGTTAAGCATTACTCTCTTTAGAAACCAGGGTGGAAAGGAAGAATGTGTGACCACTCATTTCTTAACACTGAATTTACTCAAGACAAAAGGAGTTGGACCCTGGGGAAGGTGGGATTTGGGGAGGATTATGTTGAGAGAACAGAAGAAATGGTAGGAAGGGAAATGGAAATCTCATTTCTGCTCCGTTCTCTTTTCTTCCTGTGGTCCAGCGTGGATGCCACCTCCAGCCTGCAGGATGGAGCTCCTTCCCATCATCACACAGTGCATCTTGGCTCTGCAGCTCCTTGCATCCACTGTAGCCGCAACAAGAGGCCCCCACTTGTCCGTCAGGGTCGATCTAAGGAAGGAAAAGGTCGCCCCAGGCCTGGAGAGACCACTGTATTCTCAGTGGGCAGGTGGGGATACAGTGGTCCAAGAAAAGGGAGATTAAGTTGGTGCCCAATACTTTCCTCTGAATGACCGAGCTACTGCAGCAGGGGTCAAGCTGTACCAAGTGTCTGTCCCACAATCTCAGAAGGCCTCCCTACCCAGGCCATAGAAGTTGCCATCAACCCCAGGGAGGGAGGTTTAGGTCACCTTTGGGCGGTAGTCCTAAGCTGCATTGTTCTCTTCCCGCCCAGATTCCGAGTGACACACATTGAGAAGCGCTATGGCCTACATGAACATCGTGATGGTTCTCCTACAGACAGAAGCTGGGGCTCTGGTGGGGGGCAGGAACCAGGAGCCAGTCAGGTGGCTGCAGGAGGGCAGCCTAGGACAGGGACAACTGCTACTGAAAGGCTGCTCCCTGAGGAACCACCCTCCCAGGCTGTAGCCACCCACCCAGTGCAGAACGGAGGACTCAAGGATGACAGCCTAGTCCCTTGTACACTTGAGGGAGCCCCTGGAACCTCTGCAGAACTGAACTTGGGCACTAGAGGAAGAGGCCCAAGTCCAGAACTCCTTAGTCAAGAGGCAAATGGACAGCCAACCAAATTGGACACCTCAGGTCAGCAGGTATGAAGACATGGTCAGAGATGCATTGGGCAATGGTGGACACACATCTTCTGTCCCTATGCTGAGCAACATTGATTATCCACCTCCTCTTCCCACTGAACACTTCCCCTTCTCTCAGGAGTCTCTACCACCAGACGCAGGGGGTATATGAGGCGAGTCTCCCTGAGCTCGAGATCAGGTAATCTCATCCTCTCACCTTCTACCTAAACCACCCAAACCCATCGACTCCCTGAGACCCTGGGGTGAACTACAGGCTTAGTGTGTGTTACAGATTCCTTGGCTGGTGGTGGGGAGTGGGAGTGGGCATAGAGGTTCTCCAGGAGTTAGAAATGGTCTCTGGAGAATTGGTCAATCAGAGCTCAAACAGGAAGCAACAATGTCCCCCTTCCTTTCTTCCAAGCCTCAGTCTTCACTGTGCTGATGGATACCAGCAGGCATTGCCAGGGTATGGATAGCCATGAAGGCTCTCCCCTCCACTGGACAGCACTGCTCCTCAGTTGAGGGACCAGCTCTACTTCTATCCGGAGTTACATGGTCCCAGGCTGAGGGACCTCAGGAGGAGCCGCTCCCAATTCTCAACCCCTCATTCTTTTTCCTTTCCCTACTTGCCAATGGGTTGCCTGGCCTGCCTTCCCCAAAATCTCGCTCCACATGCAAGAGCGTGGCAGCTGGGACCAGGCCCTACCCATGGTGGGCCCCTAAAGCAATAGCACCTTAGGCCCCCTGCCCTCTTGGCACAAGAGGCCCAGGCCCTGGCTTGGACTTCACGCCCTTTATTCACTGTCAATAAATCCACTCAGACCATTACAGTTGCTTTGCATCCTGGCTCCAGCTCCTTCTGACTTCCAAGACCTGCTCTTCTCCTGGCTCCAGGCCTGGTGACCCCAGCATTCGGGGTGGAGTTGGCCACAGAGGCAGGGTGAAGACAGAGATGAGCCAGAACCGTAAAATGCTTTAAGGAATGGGTACCAGCCCCAGAAATTTTGGGATATTTTACCACCCTAGATATGGGGTGATGGTAAAAAAAAAAAAATCAAAGGGGTAGTTCCAGCCCAGAGATGACAGAAGAACAATGTGGGATAGGAATGGGTTCAAATCCCAGAAATGGGAACAGGGCCAGCTTCTACCCCTGGAGGCGAGAGTGGACATGGGGGAAGATTGCAGCTTTTGCCTATGTCGCTCCAGATCATTGCGGGGGTGGTTTCTGTCAACATGGAGATAGGGGCAGCAGCATCACTGGGGGGCAGTGACTCCCCGGCCTTCAGGTGAGGGGATCTGGATGGCCAGGATCCGGGGCTTTGGCTGGTGGGGGAGGTGGTGGGCGCATCTGCAGGGGATATACATAATCAGTGCCCCAGAGTCCCTCTTGGGAATATCCCTGTCCATTACCTCAGCCCAGCATACAAAACAGGACCCATAGGAATGACCCTTCAGGACAGTCTTCTCCAAGACAGAGGCTCTTACCGGCCTGAGTCGAGGCACCATCATGTCCAGAGGTCCTGGGCAGTCTAGGACTTTGTCTAGAAATAGAAACCCAAAAGTCAGTTCTCAAGCTTTGTTGGGCTCTATGCTGCATCTCCAGCACTTAGGATAGTAATACTTTATAAATACTTGTTGACTTGGCAAAAAAATAATCACCGGCCTGAGCTATAAAATCCATTAGTCCAGCCATCCTCACATACTTAATGCTCTGTACAAAGGACCAAAGAAAGGGGGTGGAGTACAACAGCTCCCCTCAAAGTGGCTATTGAGAATCCCGTATCACACACATGCACGCGCAGAGGGGCGCGGGGAGCGCATGCCCCAATGCGACCTTATTCACAGTGAAGCAGGAGGGGCAGAAGAGATGACAGAGACTATAGTCAGGGCACGTGACTTGGAGAAGGTGGACATACTAGAGCATATCAGAAATGCTGAGTATTTCATGGTGAAAACTAGGGGGCTGGGGATATAAGGGTAGACATGCTTGCCTTGCATGAACAAGATCCTAGTTAGATCCCCAGCACCCCGAAAAATATAGAAATTAATCCGAAGATAAATACTATATCTCAGAGTTCAAGGATACTAAGAGGAAAAGGTACATTTTAGGAGAATGTAAGAATTCCATGAGAAAAGAGAGCTAATTTTTAAAATAATGATCTAAAATTACATCCATGTTTCCTATATGCCAATCACAGTGTTGTATACTCTTTTTTTCTTCTTCATTTTGGTTTTTCAAGGCAGGGTTTCTCTGTGTAATAATAGCCTTGGTCGTCCTAGAACTCACTTTGTAGACCAGGCTGGCCTCTGACTCAGATCCACCTGCCTCTGCCTCCCGAGTGCTAGGATTAAAGGCATACACCATCACTGCTCAGCGATGTATACTCTTAACAGACATCTTGGTTAACTCTTTTTTTTTCTTATGTGCATGAGTGTTTTGCTTACATGCATGCCTGTGCACCACATGCATGCCTGGTGCTCATTGGAATCAGAAGAGAGTGTCAGATCCCTTGGGACTGGAGTTACTGATGGTTGTGAGCTCACATGTGGGTACTGGGAATCAAACCTGAGTCCTCTGCAAGAACAACAAGTGCACTTTAGCACTGAGCCATCTCTCCAGCCCCTGATAATTCAATAAACCAGTGCCTTGCCCTTTACTTTCTAAAGACTATAAACCAACCTAGGATAGTGGCTCATACTTCCAATGGTAACACATCAGGAAGGCAGAGGCGGAAGGAGTGCTGGTTCAAGGCTAGCCCTATCTCCAAAGACTAAAGTATAAGAAGAAAAAGCCTAGACCAAGTGTAGATTTGACTGTGAGAACAAAAGTTTGACTGAGTAAATGCTTTCACACCAGGGCCCCACAATGTGAGAGAAGTCACCCAATTGCCAGTACAGTAAAATGTTATATCAATGAATGATTTATACACTCCTGAGATATTTCAGGATAAATCCCACTATGGAAAGGAGGAAAGCTATGGATTCACAAGAATTTTATAGACTTGACAGCCACTATTCAAGAGACAGGTGTTCCCAAAGCTCTGCAAATCAGGTTCCTCGCTGGAATACACTCCCATGAGTTTGTCCAGTGATCTGTCAGATGTACTTTTACTATAATGCTAGTGGTTCACAGCAACCAAGGACCAGACAGGTTAAGCCTTCCGCCTCAAGTCATACAATAAAAACAGACTAAGGAGTTTGAACCTGGCTCCAAATCCAAGCTCTCCTCCCCGACAATATGCCATGGACCTCTTACTGCAAGGTACACCCAGGGCGCACAGGAACAGGTAAGGCAGAGTCCAAACTTCGTCCCTGCCATTACTTATGCTTCAAGGCCCCAATTCTCTCTACTCACCCAGAGGCAGAGCAGGTGCAGCGGATCCTTCCAAGGCACAGGTGGGTGCAGGAGGCGAAAAACTGGGAGGTGAAGGGGATGGCAGCGTCTGGAGACAGGGTAGGCAGACAGTCATTCCTGGTCCATGGGAACATTTAACCAGCGTTTCCTCTCACCCCACTCTCAGTTTCTCTCCCATTTATTCTCAGTACCAAAAGCAGCCAAATGAGGGTTGTAACTGATAGATATTTCGGTAGCTAGTATGTACTGAATAGTTACTATGTGTCAGGTATATCATGACAGGGTAACACAAATTCAAACACTTCATGTGTCCCGTGGGGCTAAGGAGTTTCCCTCTGTCATCTCTAGTCACGACAGTAAGCCTGCTAAAGCAGCCGTTGCTTCTGTTTTACACACAAAGAAGGCAGCTCACAGAAGGTAAGTAACCACTCAAAGTCATGCTATGGCAATTTGTACTCAGGCCTATCTGGCCCTAAAAGTCCCAACCTTCTAGGAAGGGTGTCTTGGTTTCTCTTTTCCCTTTCCAGTCAAAGCACACAGTGAGGACTAAGCTACCATAGGAGGCAAACGTGGGGAGGAAACAAAGCTTTAAGATTAATATGGAGCATTGTTGAGGTGAGGTGAAAGGGTCACCCCAGAGGTTACTTGAGAACTGAGGGAGAATGAAGCGTCACCTGTTCAGGGTCAGAGAATTCAGGTGGCCCTGGGGGACCAAGCAGTTCCTCTACCAGTAGAGATGGGAAAACTCCAACACGGCCCCCAAATTCTCCCCTCCAGAAGCCATCATCCACACCGTCTTGAGCCCTGGGCAGCAGGCGGATGAGTGCCCCTTCAGGGAAGCTTAGCTCCTCTTCACTCTGCCCAGTGTAGCTATACAGGGCCCGGGCCAGGAATGCTACAGGAGCCCAGAAGAGAGGATGAAATGAGCAGTGGGCTGTGGTACATTAGCTCCATGCCACTCTACCCACAACCATCCAGAAAGCTGTATCTATCTATACCTATGGTCCCTGAATCCGTAACTTTCTTCTCTTACCTGTGGGCTCTGCTCCTGAAGGATTGCTGCTGCCATGGCTGCTCTCAGGAAGGGAGAGATCCGGGAAGTTGAGATATCGTTCAGGGACAAAGCCTGCTTCGCCATGCTGGTTCCGAGCCTGCTCACCCAGCAATGTGAACAGGTATCAGACTTGCTCAGCAGTCCATGACCTTGGCTCTTTGCCACTCACGTTTCTGGCATTACCTGAATGAGGCCCTCCACTGCCTCCAGTCCAGGGTCCCATACTTACCTTAACCCATTCATCAGCATCTCCTTCCTCGATGACCTCCAACCACTCACCCTCGGTGATAGTCAGCTCATCCTCACGTCCTGCCTGAGCCCCACAAGGAAGGGGTCAAGATTTGCCCCACCCCTGCCCATTGCCCATCTGAAGTTTCTATACCCATTCACACCTGGTAGCCAAATACCACATGTGCAGGGCAGGGGAGGGATCTGGTAGCCAGGGCTTGGGGGGCAGGCTCTTCAAAGAGCTCCCCAGCCTCCTCACATTCATCGAAGTCAGAAAGCTCAGCATCCTCAGCCTGGAGAGGGTAGAGGACAGATACTGTCTCAAATACTGCATGGATCTCCCACACGCCTCTCTTATCTCTAAGGGACACTGGGAATCCTCCTTCAAGGCAGTACCCCTCAACCAATCACCATATCTCACAATCAAAACCACCATAAGACAGGATGATACTAAATAGTAGCAACAACAACCATTAGGTCTATATATGCTTCATCTAACCTTCAGTATAACTCACCACTGTTTTGTATAACTATATTAACCTCACTTTACTTTTGAAGAAACAGGATCACAAAGGTTAAGCCATCTGCAAAGGCCACAAAGCTATTAAGTGGAGTGGCTGGCATTCAATTAACTTACAGACTGCTCCCAGAACCATGGTTTATTTTATTCATTTTACTTTTTTTTATTTTGGATTTTGGTTTTTTCAAGACAGGGTAGCCCTGGCCTGGAACTCGCTCTGTAGACTAGGCTGCTGGCCACAAACTTACAGAGATCTGCCTGCTTCTGCCTCCCAAGTGCTGATATTAAAGGCGTATGCCACTACCACCCAGCAGAACCATGGTTCTTAATCACCGTATCAGAAGTTTATTGAGAAACTAGGCAGTATCATCCCAGCCTCATGACAATCCTCTGAATTAAATACTGTGATTCCCATTTTCAATGTTCTACCTTCTAACAAGGAATTTTAGCCTCCCAATGTGCGTG